GGGGGGGGGGGGGGGGGGAAAGGAAGCTCGACACCCCCCCCAGACCAGCCAGAGGGCGGGGGCTGGGCTCCATGCTGCTGTGATCACCCCAGTTCCCCCCACCCTGTCATGCCCGGCCTGCACCCCCTGGAGCCCAGCCGGGTCAAAGGGCCAGCAGGCTAACAGCCCATCTCCCCTTCCCTGCCAGGATCCGCACAGCCCCACCCCCGCGCCGCCGCACAGGGGCCAGCCCCGGCTGCCTGGCGGGGAGGGGCAAGATCGCACCTTCACCCGGCCCCGATCGCGCCCCGCCCACTCGGGAGGCCGATAAACAGCACAGAGCCCGGCAGCGGGGCCGGCGGCCGCTCAGGTAGGTGCCCGGCGCCCTTCCCCCCAGGCTGTTCTGTGCTAACCTGCCCGAGGGCTGAGTTCCCTCCTGCCCACGAGGGCGGCTCACGCCCTGACGCAGGAGAGTGGGTAGTCTGGGCGGCCTCTCCCCACCCGCCCTCCGGCCCAGGGCCCTAGTGGTGTAGGGCAGGGCTCCCTGCTCAGGTGGCAGCGTGAGGCCACCACTCGTTACGCCAGGTGCTGTACAAACCAAGCGAGAACACTGGGCCGGGGGCAGCCCTGGGGAACGAGGTGCCAATCGCAGCCGCTGGGAGCGCTGAGGGTGCGTTGGTGGATCTGTTTGCCCAGCTGTGGCACAAGGGGGGCTGGGCCGTGCACACAATACAGCGGGGAGTTCCGCAGGTCTGGCCCATGGAAAAACCCAGGTTCCCTTCATGCCTCCCTGGGGCAAGGGGCAGTTCCCTGGCCCAAAGGCCCCTCGGCCAGCTGGGCACAGCCGTCGGACTGGCTTTTGATGGGCTTGAGTCCAGGGGGAGCCAGGAGGGGCAGGACTCAGGGTACATGGTTACACACGCAGCAGCGGGGCACCGGCAGAGCTGGGCCTAAGCCAGGCACTCGGAGCCGCCGTGTCACTCGGTCAGTGCACACTCCTCAGCCACTGCCACGCCTGCGTCAAATCACCAGCCCAGCTCCCTCTCCGCTGGCGGCTCCGGCTGGCCAGCTCGTTCACGCAGGGAGCTCCCTGTGTTTGCTGCCTGCCAGGCAAGGGCCTGCCCTGGGACCCCGCGGCCCTGCCCCACGACTGCACCTGCTTCACTGCGGGACAACCCCTACCCCAGCCAAGTCCGGGTCCTCGGGGAACAGCCAGCAGCAGGTGGGTTCTGCCTGAGGTTGTTTTCAGGGCTGTTCAGACACCCCTCCCCCCCGCCTCATCCTGGCGGGAGCTGCAACTCCTGCTCCCTGCCTCAGTTTCCCCACCCTAGGCAGACTCTCAGCTTCCCCCGCTGGGTGGATTGAAAAAGACTCGGACCTCAGTCACTAATGTTTTAACTGTCCCGGGCCAGTTGAAGCAGCAAATTCTGCCCCCCTTCCCCCCGCCTCATCCTGGAGGGAGCTGCAACTCCTGCTCCCTGCCTCAGTTTCCCCACCCTAGGCAGACTCTCAGCTTCCCCCGCTGGGTGGATTGAAAAAG